CTTCGACGCCTTCAGGCGATTGTTGATGATCAAGACGCATGGCCTCGCATTCTGTCGAAGGACCTCAATGTATTCAAAGATGAGTTGGCTCATTTGGACTCTGCAATGGTGCGAATACGTGCAGGACTTGTGCATGATCTGGAGTTGGGCCGCTGTCGTCTGCTCGATGCTGTCTTCCAACCGGTTGCAACTGGTTGTCATAACCCAGTCTCACATTCCGATTCACTCTCCGACTCATACTCAACACATACAAACCTGACTGGCGAACTCAATAAGCGCACTAGTCATGCCGTGACTTGCCTGATCAGTTGGATGGAGGCCTCCAGCCAGAGACTACTGAAGGAGTCGATCGGTACCGGCTGCGCGACTACTTCCAACTCAGCCTCGACTAGTTCAAGTCGGCATGGCATCTCAATCTCGAGTCTGAACGAAGCCGAAGGTCTTCTTGCCGAATGGATGTCCTGGACTGAACAGGCCGCCTCCAGACACACTTTACTGGCCGAATTGGTGCACCGGTGGGGACTGCATTGGCGACAGCAAGTCCCCTCGACGACAACCATTCAGCTCACTTCGTGTCCGACCTCGGAATCAACCTTCTCTCCGAGGATCGATTCTTCGCTGTCTCCCATAACACCAATTGAAGGCTCCCTCTCAGCTAGACCTGTTTCACTTGGCTCGAATTTCGTAAATTTTACCAAGTCAGCCTACGCTTCAGACAGACGGCTTCGCAAGCGGAAACGTATGTTACGAGAGGAGCAAAAGCAGTGGACAAAGGGCGCTAGATTAGACGGACTTCTGGATCGCTGGAGAGCAGCGCTCTACCACGGCGGGCGCATCTGCCGACAATTGCAGGATATGGTGCGCCAATGGTCTGTGCTAGAACTGCAACGACTGCCAGAGCTTCAAACCGCTTCTGAACTTCTCGACCTGCTGATTGCCGACTTGAGGGACCCAGAAGCGTCGAACAACCTCGAAGAGGATGGCGAAAATGTCAAGTCTCATCGAGATTTGCTCATTTATAAGATACATCAGAGTGAGGTAAGCCGATTATTTCCTTTTTGGTGTTGACAGAACATATTGAAAAACTCCGTAACTATTTTACGCACAGCTGACGTCACGGGCTAACTATGCACCGGCTGTGGATGCTTCCAACCTCTTTACATTCTCGTTCCTCGGGCATCCTTTTCAGAGACTTAAATATCAACCTTTGATTGTCTTTTTGGGATTTATTTGTCATTAGTATCTTATTTCTCTACATCAACTCAGCTTTGGCGATTCACATTAGATAATCCCTAACACATTGGGAAAACTGAGAAAATCCGTAATGGTCAGGAAAAGAGAATAGCCTTTGTGAAGGTTGGCAATTTCAGAAATTTATTCTCTTACTTCACACTTTGTTGCTCTCTGAAAATATCTACATTAATCATGCATCATTTTCTATTCTCATGCCTTGCTATTTTTTATATCCCCTTTCTGTTAGTATCTCATTAACGACGCTTCAGAGATATTAAGCCGTGTTGAGAACCTAACAGAAGAAACCACTATTCTGTCTTCCTCGGCTTGCCGATTTACGTTCGAATTATTTCCCTCGTCGTTTCGTCAATCTTCCATAGAATTCATTCAAATTGAACCAAAAAAACTACTTGAATGTCTTGCAAGTTTAAATGTCTCTTTGACTGGTCAAATGGAGAGCCTAAACGAATTTATGAAAAGTTCACGATTGTCATTTGAACTAGAGGCATGGAGACTCTACGATGAAGTTGAAAGTCGGTTCATTCATTTGTCTGCTAAAATAGACACACTGTTCTCGATTCCAACCGAGGTCCTTCTACCTGAAATGCCAAGAGGTTTTGCACCCAAAGAGCAGAATCACATTCTTGACAATCCAACACTTACACCTTACAAGCTACCGCTGATACAGTTATCTACTCACCTGGCAGACTTCGATGCAGAACTGAGGGAGCTGAGTGACAAGCTCAAGGACGTCACCGAGGCTATTACAAACAATCGGGACTTCATAAGAGAGGTTGAATCGAATAAGCTTGGATTACAAGTATGGGCAAATTTAATTTATATCATGCTTTTAAGTATAATTTCGAGTAATACATGCTTACTCATTTCTTTTAAAGTGCTTGAATGAAAATATACAGAAGACGTCGATGCAAATTAATCAAATGGCCATTCAGATGCAAAATAGACTTGATAATATCTTCTCGATGCTCAAAGATCTGGATCTGTTTGAAGGCCTTTTTATCGCCTCCAAGCATTGTTTAGATGGTCTCACAAAAGATGCCTCAATTCTTATAAACAAATGCATGTGTTATTTTGCCCGAGAAGCAGATACTACTACTACGTCTACTTATCCAGAGAGCAGCCCCTTACTTATAAACATTTCTCAGCTTGAAGAGATAATCAGCGCCATCAGCATGCTAACCTCAAACTCAGGGCCATTGGGTCAGATGAAGACAATGTCCGGGTGTTGCCCCTCAGCCCCTTGGCAGACCAATTTTACCCATCACCTACAGAAAGTGGCCAACAGCCTTTTGGGCGAAGTTAGGGGACTTTGTGACCAGTTAATGCTTAGACGAACTCAACTGACCCAGTTGGATTGGCTTACGGGGCTGGCTGAAGATTGGTTGACGAAGCAGGCGATTGAAAATATCTACCATTTCGAATCTGGCCCTGAAAGGTACTTGGCGAAAGTGCATAACTTTCTAAGATCCGACCTAGGCGCCAGCCAAATCGACTGCTTTCTCGCCCTGAACGACTTGGTGATCAGCTTTGGCTCAGGCTGTAACTGCGAGGAGACGGAAACTTTGGTGCGGGCGAGACAGGCACTGCTCAAATGGCGCCATCAAACAGTTGCCATCGTGCGTTTGGTCGATGTGTACACCGGCGACTACTGCAGACTGATCACATGCGGAGAAGATTTTGGGATCAGCAAATTGATTGAGATGTTGAAGAGCTTCATAGCGGAGGACGACGATATGCTAAGAGGCCAATCTATCACAGAAGAATCAATCAACTTAAGAGAGCCTGAAGCTGATGAAAGTGGCGTAGGCCTTATCAAACGGAAGACCTACAGAAAACTTTTTTACTTTCAGGTATGCTCATCTACAGCTTATAAAGTAAATTTTATCTCGACTTCTGGTCGTATCTTTGAAATATACTTCGTTACTTAGCAGTTATCCTCGAAGAGAAACCGTTAACGTCCGTTATTTTTATGCAATACAAATTGAAAATGTCTGTTTTAATCTAAACATGAGCATGAAATCTTGAGGCCTCTTCTTCGCTCTCTTGAAACCATGATCCACTCTTTCTAATCGAGACAGGATTGATTAGATCCGAGAGTTTAGTGGCTCAAATACGATCTTATATTCTCACTCAATTCAGAAGCTTAGAAGTTATTTACTTTAGTCATTGCTTCGATGAAAGCAGCAACATTGAAGATGATCAATATCCGTCAGTATCTGAGCAAATTACTATTTTTGCCAGGAAGATAATCGGCGGAGAATCTTATTTAGAAGATAGCCTAAAACCTATGAGATGCCTTTATCCTATTTCGTTAAGATGATGAAGGACTGGTAGTTGAATTTTCCCACAATGATCTGACTAAACCTTACGTCTCCATTGAATTTCACGAAACCTCGCTTCTCATCCATGTTGAAATGGACTGTAATTTCGACCTCACCTTGGTCTCATTAGCACTCCCAGCAGGACTCAAACTGTTATAGCTCAGCATACAATCTCGACCTTTCAACCACTACGCCACATTGCCAAGAGTGTTTTTGGGTGACGGGGCAGATGTGGAGTTCAAAAAAGGCCATGCCTTTTCCCATATTACAGTCTATAGTGAGATTGTTGACGCAGCAAAGTGGTATGTGTCATAGCAATCTACCACATTACTTGTTTTTCTTTTTATAAGTAGATTTTCGAGACTACCAGAAGACCTGATATAATAGCTGATATAAGAATACCTTTGGGGACAAGTAGGTTTATGTGAAATTCATTTAGTTATGAGGCTTACCCATTTGATTGTGGGAATATTCAACTACCAGTTCTTCATTACCATAGGTGAAATAGAGTGACTACAGTTCTTATATCAGATCTACTGGTAGTCTCGAAAACCTACTTATAAATTAAAAATGGAAAAACTAAGCCACTTTTGCCTTGTCTTCTTCTAGCATCAGGCTGGCTACATATATACATGCGATGAAAAGTTGGGTTTCGAGGAATGTCTTGTTTCATACATGTTGAGCTTACTTCCATTTCAAGTGGGAGTGTTTAGTGAAGAGATTCAAAGGTCGATTCCAACAGAAGACGAAGGAGTATTTCTTTTGACATTCATGTTGACGCTGTTTCCGAGGTAATCGCCTTCTATTCCGGTGAAAAGATGCTAAGCTTTCGTCCGTCATATGACGAACATCATCATAGCAAAGTATCATGCTTGCAACCAAATTAAAGCTAACGAGTCAAGAAAATTCACCGGCACATCCCTAAAAAGCTGTATATATACTCTATGTCTGACCTCCTTGATGGGGTATAAAGTGATTTGGTTAGTTCCAGTCATATGTCAACCTCGAAGCAGGGGAGTCGACATGAATGTTTCAGTAAGGCCAATCGACGTCTGGTGAAGAGAAATCCGCGATCGTCTTCTGGTGGAATTAAACTTCGAATCTCTTCATTGCACGCTTTAACTCGAAATGAAGCGGAGCTCAACAATTTTAAACAAAGCGATTCCTCGAAACCCAGCTTTTCTTCGCATTTTTCGAAATACAATGCAAAATTCAACTCTTCCCTTCACTTAACCGTTCAATAATACACTTAAACTGAGGAATATGGGAGACAATCACTTCCTTGTTTGGTTTCTGTGAGCTCAACTTAGAAAGTCCCTTCATCTAAATTTTTTTCTGGAAATTTAATGCCCAAATACACTATTAAATCACATACTACTATTCAAATACACGAAATTGTCCATCCAGAGAGGTAATGGAAATCAGGATATGCGTCTCATTATTTCGGTTAATGAATAACGTGAATTAGAGGGAGCCTTCCTTGTATTACATAATCCAGAATCACACAAATTTTGATACAAGAAACTCATAAAGGTTGATTAACACGCTTTGAAACTAATTTTATGTTTCCATTGCTCAACTTGCCTAACGGTTATCAAGACTATTTTTAGTCCGTGAATTGAGCTAGCCGGAAGTGCATACAATTTTTAGTTTACACAGTATAGTTTCAGCGTTCATTCCTTATTAACTGTGAATATTCCTGCTTTAAATTCGATTGGAGCTAATTCTTCTGGCCACACTACCAAACTCGTTAGTCATCCATTAAAAGTAGCTAACGATGAAGCTGCCCTAGCCCCAATTTCAGTCGAACGACACATCCTAACCAAATGTGCTTTCCTCTGTCCCAGCTGCAAGCCTGAGAGCGTAGAATTACATTTTTCCTGCCACTAAATGACATATGAAAAAGGGCATCCACATATCCAAGTTGGCATTATCTACTTCATCTCCTACATTAAGGCAAGTATACAGAGATAAATTATCTCTAGAATATATTATGAAACCATTGGTGACTTCGGACTATAAAAATTTTGTTTGATCTTTTTCTGCTTCTCTAACGTTTTACTCCTTTTAACAATTAATACAGCTCTACATTCTTTAGAGGTAGTCTGACCTCGTTTTTGCAACTTGGTCGTGTTGTCAGGGCGACCTAATTAAAATCATTCTTTCCAAAGTCCTCTGCTATAGTAGTTATCATAGTTCGATGCGTCGAACCATAGACCTGGTACATTATTCGACGTTTCGCCGGCATCGTCAGTGAGTATTGTCATTCTCAACATCATATAACAACTCGTCAAAGGGACCAGTGAAGTCTGCCAAAACGGTTGTGCTATAACTCCTCTTTCTGCTCCGGCACATCTACCAATTCCCTACCCTCATATCTAACTCTCGCCCTATCACAAACTCTGACCTGTTTACATTCGACTTCAAAAATGGGGTGCCTTTTTTTACGATTTTAATGTGGCATCATCACACTTGCCGTTCAATTTGCCTCCCTCCCTCTCGTTTGTCTGATCCGATTCTGCCCTAAAATCCGGGTGTAACTTCTAAGAATATACCAAGTCCACGGTCCAATGCTTGGAAATATGATAAATACTATAGCAGAAGACTTCAGACAAGATGAGTCCAACAGTATTCGCACTGAAACTGCGATCAGGTTGCTAAAACGAGGTCAGACACCATCCAAGCATCGAAAGTAGACTGCCGCCAAAATAGAGATCACAATTTCTTATTTTTCGTATCTACGTTTAATCTACACTCTTTAGTTTTCTCTTTCTCGACGACTCTTTTTCTACATTTTTCCTTTTTAGCTTCTACTTGTCAAATGGAGATTTCGCTTGCCTCTACTGGCCGGAATTCTGCGCAGTCTTCACACCGCCCTGCTGTGGGCCGAAGGACAAAATGCCCCTGATGGCTCCTCAGCTTCCAGGTCAGATTCATCCACCATCCTCGAGCTCACATACGCTTTGCACAGCCTTGCATATCGGATTTCCCAGCTCGCCAGCAAAGCCAGCCGGTCTGCTCGGGTTTTAGAGGCTGAGGCCGCCATCAGAAGTGAGCTCAGGCGTCTGTCTTGCCGATGGAGGTTAATTGAACAGTCATTGTGGCGCAGACAGACGACAACCGAACAAAAAGATGCTGGTAAGACATCTTCTGGTGAGATTGACCTACGAATCTCTTTAATATGTACTTCCTTGCGAAATGAGTCTTCACATTTATACATTACTTATTTTCGTTTATAGGTAGGTTGGCGTGACTACCAGTATATCATATTTATAAAATATATTCACCCTAGAAAATGTTTGACCT